CTAATCAACCTAATCCTGAAAAATGACCAGCTTCTGCTTTCAGTCACTGCAGATGACATTATCAGCACTTCAGTATAGCCAGGCACAGAGAATAATGCCTCATCCAATCACTGGACTGAGAAAGCACTGCATTATGGGCAGAGAGCACATCAGTCCTCATGATGTAAGTGGGACAATTGTTACTCAACTTGCTAGGGACATTGTTGTCCAATTCATCTGTTCGCAATTTTTTAGCAATTCATAAATTCCTAGCATTTATAAGCAGATATGCCTTTTTTACCCCATAATGCACTTAGGCTGAACTCACTGTGTCCTTCATATCAGCTTCCATAATGGTTACACATAAAAGATAACATTCCTTTCCTATAAACAGTCCTAGATTTGAACTCTATAGCAAACCTCAAACGGAGCACATTTCCTCCTCTGCAAGAGCTTGTATTTGTGGTTAGTGTAAAAGTCAGTGGATTGAAAGAGGACAAATGAATTAAGGGTACGTTTACACGACAACAATGTACTAAAAACAGACAAGTATTCTTTTGCATTTTTTATGTAAAGATGACACCATTGTCAAAACGATCCCTGTTCCCACGGATCTGCGAAAACGGCTAAAACCTTTGTATTCTTCAGCCAGGCCAGTAGTTGGCGGTGTCACTTTGTAAAGAAACACTAAAGACTGAACACACAATATGCATGACGTCACCGTTTTCACAAATTCACGTTTTTGTAGGTTACACGCAGAAGATAACGGTATTGTTTTCAAAAACTTCCAATTTGACATCCGTTTTCAAAAGTTAGCATTTTCAGTTTTTAGTTGAAAACAGTGTTGTGTAAATGGCCCCTCAAATTAAGTTCATGAGATGACATGACATGACAGTTGAAACTGAGGAAAAGATGTAAAAATGTAACATCTTCATCTGATTATAAAAATAAAAAAATACACTTTATTTTAAGGTGTCCTTGTTACAGTGTAATTATACAATTAAGTACTGAGTAATAATAATGAACTATGATTAGGATTAGGTTTGGTTTAGGGTTAGTTGCATGTAATTATGCATAATTTATAGTAATTAAACTACATGTAACATGTGTAACAAGGACAATGTAAAATAAAGTGTTACCAAAAATAGTATAGTCTCACATTACATAAATATAGGTCAAATTTAAACATTTATCCAATGCATTTTTGCACTACATTTTTCTCAGCTCATACGTCATAAGAGATGTATCCAGACAGATGGAGCTGAAAAAGCTTATATTTTAATCAGCACAACATAGAAGTACTCCAATATAGGAGGCAAACGCATGCCACATATTACTTGTAGTTTTCACCATCCAAATTAAAATGCTTTTGCTTTATAATGCAATTCAATCAGAAGCATTCAGCTTCTGCATAGACTAAAATGGCACACATTTATCATACAGCACATGGAATAAATCACTTCTACTAAGAGAAAATAGTCAATAAGCAGTCTGTCATGTAATATTGCTGATCACAGCATTTATTTAGTTAGACCAACGATTCTGAGGGAGCAAAATCAGTCACAACCAATCAGAATCCAATAATTATTCCTTATAGAGAACATATTTAGGAAATAGTATTCATGCTCTGATAGGGTCCCATCAATAAGCTGTGTATTTACTAATTTTCTGCTTAATTTTTCAATCAAATACACTGCTAACAGTATTTTTCGAAGTAGTAAATAAAACAAACAATATAATTCATTTTACAAGAAAATACTATTTCAGTCTTTGCTTAAAAATGTCATGTATAATTCAACGTTTTAAGCCTACTTGTCATTTCTTTGTAATTATTTGCGAATTTCTGAAAATTGATTATTCAACACCTGTAAATCCTATACTAGAAGGTAAAAGATTTTTGCGCAACAGATTCAAGTTGTTCTCACAAATTTGCCGCTTGGTCCAACAGAAAGCTTGACCTCTTTGAGCTGTGCTTCATACATTGCTACACTATTAAACTGCAAAATTTCACCAAAATTTCGCTAATGTAAGCATCTTATAAACACAAATCACCAGCTGGATGAAAGAGAGAGGCACAATCACATGATGCCGAACATGTTGTCCATCTTCGGACATGTTTGACCTTAATCTCCACTAATCGTTTATCAACCACAAGGAAGCAATAGTTCAAAGTCAGTTTATGTTTTTTTTAAAGATAACAAATAAAGACAGGCATGTGAACAGAGATGTTACATGTGGCCATACTAAATAAATCTGTAATCCCAATGCTATATCATGCAAGACTGATCTGAAAGGAAATAGAGGCAAATGATACCTATAGCAAAACACCTGTTATATTTCCGCTGACAATCCCATGTCACAAAGACGATTGTTCACTAATCTACCACACTTAGTACGCAAGATAGAATTACACAAGTTCATTGCGTTTAAATCAGGCTCAGAATCTACAATGCATTAAAATCAGGACACAAGGTACATGTGGCATATTTGCAGAGCAATTATGAGCATGCAAATGTCTAGCCTGCCATGCCAGTGGCAGCTGGTGCAATGTGTCAATGTAAATATCCAGCATCTGAACTTACTGAGTCACAAACAAACACTCCAAAACCACAGCAAAAGCTATTCATTTCCCTCCCCTGTAATCCTCTCTTTGCATTATTGTCCAGTCATTCCATTCCAGATGGTGAGGCAAAGATGAGAGTGCATGAGAAGGCAAAGGTCCATGATGAAGCACAGCTGGCTTGGTGGCACGTACTTGGTGCCTGTTGTGCTTCATTAGCACTATTTATTCCCATCCAAAAAAACGTTTGATGTGGTTCCACCTGGACTCTGTGCAGAATACAATTTCATGGACTGAGCATAATTTAGATGCATCGACCGGACAAAGAAAAGGGCATTAGAATATGAAAGTTCATTTTTTTATAAAACTATCTGTAAAAATCCACCAAATTCAGATTTCCTATCTACTTCCAGAGCATTTCATGGAGCAATGACAAAGAGTGTAAATAATAATGAATTGCACCAAAACAATCAAGTCATGCCAAATTGACAATTTCAGAGCTAGTAAAGAATCATAAATTAAATTCAATTTAAAAATAATAAAAAATAATAATAAACAAAAAGAACCTGTCCTGCTCCACAAATGGCTTTCTGCTCCTGTCTTCAGCTCTGATATCTCTCTCAACTGCATTACCCGGGCATTCGCTCTCAGACAGACTCATTTCTGTCATTACAGTCCTATACAAATGCTAATTAAAAATCACTAAGAGACTCGTGGCTCGGGAGCACACAAAGTAACAGCTGTTATGCACACGTACATACTAATATCCCATTGCCAGGGACATGAAAGCAAATGTCCCATATTTTCTCATTCATTAATCATCATTCAGTTGTATCGATGTTAGACTGCCTGCAGATCACCTATGAAGCCATCAGATTATGTACCCAAACTGCAGAGTGAACGTCAAAAAGAAATAGCACCACAGTGACTTTAGCACACACAATGAAGAGGTTTTCGAAGTGTGAACGTCAAATATAGTCAATGTCCTGAAGAGTTATTTAAAAATAACTCTAAATCTTATCACCAATCCTAATTAAATCACGTTTGACATACAACAGCCTGTAACCTCATAAACACAACACACTACATTCTGGCAGGTTTAGCATAATGCTGCATTAATTTACACCTGAGGCCCAATAAAAACACCGACCAATGCAGTTGCCCTGTGTTTCCTCACTTGACAGAAAAGAACAAGTGTAGCCTTTTGCACTGTCCATTTGTGGGTTTTCAGTCTTTCAGTCTTTCTTCATGCTTAAATATATTTAAATACATTAAATATTCAGTATTTTTACAGCATGATGGGATGCCAAGAAAATATTTTCATTTCATCTTCTCAAAATGCTCAACCATTCGATTCAACCCTGATACCAAAGGTTTTGTAAGATCAGACAATAATATTTATTTAATTTATGGGAAACAGCTACCAACATTTGGTCCCAAACTAGGTGGATAATAGTTTAATTTTAGCTAAATGTTACAGCCATAGTTTATTTATTAATATTTTTTAAAAATATGTTCCTATTAAATTTAGATTTATTTAACTTTAGCTTAATTTATTTAATATAAAATGCACAACATTTTTATTTAGAGGTCCCAGATTTTGGTAACAGGTTTGCAAAAGTTACAAAACCCATATAAATGGAATAGAAATAAACAGCTTAAATAATATTTCGTTTGAAAACATTGAGGCTGACAATCAACATTTCCGTATTTCCGTAAGTATAGCCTTTTACAATTTGCTAAAATAAAAATAATTGTGTAAAATAAAAATAAAAACTATGTACATTTTTATAAGAGTTTAGGCCCCATTTGCTCCCTATTAATGGAAAGTGTCTATAAACGTTTAAAAAGCCTGGATTCTTTTATTTTTTTTAAGAAACAAAGACATGAAAGGAAGGTGCAATAACGAAAGAAAGAGCCTTGTTCCCGTTGTCTTTTGTGGGGTTTCCTATGGCTGTAAACGTTTTTTTTTTTTTTTTTTTTTTTTTTCATGCAATGACAGTCAGCATGACCATCTAGTTCTCAAATGAAAATGAATAAATACCCAATTCAAAGATTTACATTTCAGAAATGCGCCATTATGGACAAATATTGAGGGTGAAGCTTGAGAATGATGGGAACACCTGCTGGTTGCCGAGCAAGATTTCAATGAAACATATACTTTCATAATGGGCCGTTTCTCGTGTCAATACAACACGACACACAATGAAAGCTTCATTTTAAACACCGTTCGGATTAAACGGACAAGTTTCGTGTATTTCAAAGAAACGGGTCCTTTGCGAGCCCTGCCATATTGCCGTGAAAATCCGCATCATCATCGGTTGCCATGGTAGAAGCACGACTGGATGCTCCTCATCGACTCAAATACTGCACCTACTGCGCATTCTCCCAACGAAAAGCGTCTCGACAGAAACTCTGAGAAAATAACGCTGCATTCAAGACAATGAAACGTAAAACTCACCGACTGCAGCGATGAATCCTCGACCCGTCCGGTTTCATGGGATTGATGTAGGTTTGGTGTGTAGTGGGCGCGCGCCGCAGCTTCTCTTTCTCCTCGAGCGCTCCTGCTGCTGTCAAACGCGCAGCGCCGTCACGCGCACGCTCAGTGCAGGCGCAGCTGCAGCGACACGAGAGACTAATCAGCGGATCACACACAGATACACACACAAACACCACTACTAGACTCTGTAATACAGAGAGCACGCTCAGTATATTCTTAACGTAAAAAGAATGGTTCAAAAGTTTGTTTGTTTTTGAAAGAAACGCATAGCTACGTTTATTAATGACTGAGTGAATTGATCGAAATTTACAATAAAGGCTCCACAAACAAATTCATCCATTCACTCACTCACTCACACACACACAGTATGTTTTTTCATGTCATTAAAGGTACAGTCATGGAAAACAACCAATTCACAACCAATCTACACACACACACACACACACACACACACACACACACACACACACACACACCAAACATATGTTTGTGTGTTTTAACACTGTTTTTCCCCCCCATGTCATTAAAGTACAGTCATGGAAAACAACCTCAAATCTACAATTTTCAGTCTACACACAATTACATTACTTTGTCAAAGCCATATTTAAATTTGTGTTTTTGTGCAGATGGATAGAGTTGCTTTGTGATGTTTTTTCCCCTCAGTGCAGGACATCTGATTTATGATAGCTTAGTGGTTTGGCAATGCAAGTGAAAATGAGCATGTTAGTCGTCCCACTGAACAGCATCATGCCTGAAACCCATGCAGGCAGCCACGTCTTAAAACGTGAATAGATGTATCTACTTACTGTACACGAAACCGTTATTGTTCTCAAGAGTCCTGGCACATTTGTAATATCCGGGAACAAGGAATATTAAAGACTACAAAGACACAACAGATGACAAATGGTGACATAAGTGTAAAAAAAATATATGGAAGTAGTATGTTTACTGAACTAAAGAATAACCAAAATAGACTAGCATGTAGTGGGATTGAAAATAAAAGACACGGAAACTAAATTCTAACCAAAATTTTTAACAAGAAAGTATTTTTAAACAAGAACGTCTGTTCTGATAGGCTACCTAAAGAGCACTCTCAATACAATCGTAGCTCAAGTCTCTCTGAGGTAATGCAGACTGGCTTTGTTTATACGTCCCACTTCCTACATTGGTTTGCAGATGGCTTTGAAAACATATATCATCTAGAAATAATTGTACCAGAACCAACCGGTAGTTGCTTATACAGTCTGTTCTTTTTCCAGCAAGGGAATTTTTTGAGAGGCTGATCACTGCATAGCCAATGAGTGGAGCTTGACATCCAGCTCTCTCGCCCTAATCGGACAACACCCAAACCCTAAGCTTATCCCTAAACCTAATTGAGTTAAGCTCCACCTCTTAGATCAACAGAAAATAATAATATTGCACTCGAGTATATCATTGGAATAATTTTAGGGACATCTAGGTTACACTTGAGGTGCCAGAATGCTCTAGTCTGGTCTTCCATTGCCTGGCTGAGGGAATTCTGGGAGGAGTTGATGCAAGAGTTGAATCAGACATGGTCCTATCTGCTCTAAAGCTCCTCGATCGATGAAAGTAACAACCAGTGACATTCTCAGCTCTTGCATCTGTGAGTTTATGGATTACAACAAAAACTGCAGTGGTTGCGTAACAGTAAAAAAACCTGGACTGGAAACAATATAGATTAGAAACTGTTAAATAAAGAAGGCATTTCCAGTGCAGTCCGCTGTCTCACATGTACACGGCAGCTCCCAGTAGCACTGAAATGTGGATTTGAGAATATTTCCATCAAATATAGTCTCTCCTCACACTCACCTGTGGGATTTGACACATCATTGAACATTTCCATGGATAACATTCCTCACTTCAGGTTAGGCTACATAACTGAGGTCTTATGAGGAAATAACCAACCTCACTGACCTTTATTGTATAAAGGTGGCTCATTTTCAGAGGCTCATCAGTCTATAAATGTTCATATTTCTCACTGGGCTGTACAATTTTAAATATATAGAACATCTATGTGTTTGACTTCAGGCTTGACAGGCTGCTAAAATACCAGCTAATGTGCCAACAGTGTGGAACAACAGACAAACAGAAATCAATTTTGCAATTGGAAAAATCAATTAAATACTGCCAGATTAATTACAAATGGAATAAAATGCTTGTGGTTCAGATTTACATAGCTTCCACCTCAAGTATATGTTCGATTCCCAATGATCAGCACTCTTTATCAATATTAAGAGGAACAAAAAATAGTTATCTAAAATAATAAGATAACATAGGCTATCTTATCTGAGAAGGAAAAACTGAAACTGAAATAAATTGAGGTTTAAAAACCTTTATTTCTCTTCATAACCACGACGGAGTAATAGTTTAAAGGTGTTATTAGGAAAAATTGTATTTCTGAATCAAGCTGTTAAAATTGAATCTACAACACTGTCATAATTTTACTCAACACATTCAAGGATTAATGATATTTTCAATATTATACACTCAATCTGAACAGAACCAATAAATTATGTAAAATATTTTCCTGTCAAGTGCACACTGAAGCAAATAGAAATGTATTGTGAAAAGCAGCCGAGGCATTCAAACATAGTACACTAAATCACTGATCACTTCAATAGTGTTTCCACAATAACCAATGGAAGATTAAGAGCCATCTTCAGCAATAATACAACTGCATTGAGTGCTTTCAAAACATTCTGTGCAAACTTTTTAAAACATCAGACTGACAGTGCTGTTGGTTCCTTTTGCGGTCTGACATAAAGGTTGATAATTATGAACATTTCATTTTGAATAAAAAAATGAAAAGGTTTAGCTGAAAATGATTTGCACACACTTGGGTCCGTGCATCAGCAGCTCGCCTCATGCTAACTACAGTACTGTTAGTTCAGTCAACTCTACCTGCATTATTGTGCAGAATAAACAACTAAGGATTTTCTTGAGGAGACACTTAACAGTTTTATCCTATTGTAAATTAATTGAGATCAAAATGGCATTAGTACATCCCAACAAACAACAAGCAGCACATGCAAGTAATAGCTAGTCAGTGTTGCCGCTAACATTTCATGCCTGCAAGGCTCTTTGTTTCAAACAAGACCCACAACAGAGACAATAACTATCCTTACAGTAACTACAAAGACGTCAAATCAGACCTATAATGAACCTATGCATTCTTCTTATGTGCTCGATATGAGACAACATACCTGATTCCCTATTTTAATTTATATGGCAATGTAACACTTAATTCCATTGCAATGTACAATTGTCATTGTTATACATTAGAGAGACAACGGAAAAGGTCAGTGGTTGTGCAAGTTTGGTTTAGAGTTTCAGAGTTTGGAGCGAAAGGGAAATCCATCGTACATGTCAGCTTTGAGTTGTGCCCATTCTGCTAGCTTTTGAACGACGCCCTTTTCTTGAGTGAGAACACTAGCCACTTTCCTTAACTTATTCTCGTTACGCTCCAGGTAGATGCGACCCTCAGCCAGCATGAAGTCCAGCCTGTCCTCCCTGTTCTCATCCAACGGGACATCCTCACTCATGTAAGGGTTCAAGCGAAAGTAGGTGTTCGGGGGAAGGAGGGCGTCCAGCATCGTGTGGACCTCTACAATACAAAAAGAAGAGATCAATAGTAGTTTATGTAGTGAGTGACAAACAACTGTAACAATTGCAATGTTTCATCATTTAAAGAGAACATATTATGCTTTTTGACATTTTCAACTTTCTTTAGTGTGTAATGTTGCTGTTTGAGCATGAAAAGGTCTGCAAAGATACAATGATAAAGTCCACTTCAAAGGGAGTTATTCTCCATTTCAGTGCGCACTGTTTCCAAACTCCCTGAAGCGCCTTGATTGTAGTCAAATGCCAGCCTTTTAAATGACTATAGATCGGTAGCACTCACTTCCATTCCTGCTAAGTGTCTTGAGAGGCTGGTCATCACTCACATTAAAAGTGCAATACCATCATCACTTGATCCACACCAATTTGCATACAGGCGGAATCGGTCGACTGAGGACGCCATCGCCATCGTGCTTCACATGTTACTGGAACATCTTGAGCACAAGAACACCTACGCAAGACTCCTCTTCGTCGACTTTAGCTCTGCCTTTAATACAATCCGGCCGTTTAAACTCCGAGCCAAACTGCACCACCTTGGCTTCAACAACTCGCTGTGCAATTGGATTGTGGATTTTCTGACAGATCGAACACAGAGGGTTAGAGTAGGCAAGCACTTGTCCTCCACCCTATCAATCAACACCGGGGCCCCCCAAGGGTGTGTGCTTAGCCCTTTGCTCTACACTCTTTTTACACATGACTGCTCTGCTTCTCTCTGCTCCAACCTCATTGTTAAATTTGCAGATGATACAACAGTGCTGGGATTTATTAACAACAACAATGAGGCAGATTATCGGACTGAAGTGCAACATCTAGCGTCATGGTGTGTCAAGAATAATCTGTCCTTGAACATTAAAAAAACTAAGGAGATTATCGTGGATTTTCGCAAATGCAGACCCAATCACTCCCCTCTCTACATAGGCAATGAAGTGGTGGAGAGGGTGCCATTTTTCAAATTCCTGGGAGTAACGGTGACTGAGGACCTGTCCTGGGGAACCAACATCATCTCTGTGATAGGGAAGGCTCAGCAACGCCTCTACTATCTGAGGCAACTGAGGAATGCCAGGATTCCTAAACAGCTGATGGTAAACTTTTACAACTGTGCCATCAGCAGTGTTTTGACATATGGATTCTTAGTGTGGTATTCCAGCTGCACTAAGGCCCATCAGCAGGCACTCCAACGAGTGGTAAATACAGCTGGAAAAATCATTGGGACCACTCTCCCGAATATCAGTAACATCTATGATAGCCGTTGTTTGAAGAGAGTAAAGAGCATCTTGCGGGACCGGCATCACCCGGCCCATCATCTGTTCCATCTGCTGCCATCAGGAAGAAGGTACAGGTCTATTGGTGCCAGTAAAACCAGACTGGCTAACAGCCTGTACCCTTACGCAGTAAGGCTGCTTAATGATGCCCTTCCCTCTCTCTCCCTACCCTCCCCACTTCCTTCCAATGGACAGTAAACTATATCTCA